TCGCTAGGTTGTAAGTTTTGTTTCTTTATGATCTCGATGAACTGGAACTCGATGAACTGGATGAACTGGAATCAAGTTCCACCCCCACTGGCAGTTAAAAGGAGGAAGCAGCTGCAATCTCCATTACTCTGAGAAGCACAGAGCTGGAGACAGAAGCCTGAAGATGATGAATGAGACTTCATCGAAACGTTGCCTAGATACTTCAAATCTTACGCGGGAGAAAACCCGAACAACCAAAGATCTACATATATATATATATATATATATATATATATATATATAGTTTCATATCATTCATATATACATTAACATAGCATTAATTATAGCACTATAGCATTTCTTTATATCTCTGTACTAGACATGTTTAAGATAGATTCTAAATCAATAACCTTCCTATGCTTTTGATAGTTTATTAAATCTACATCTGATAATTCTTCTTTGCATTGTTCATTTTACGAGATTATACATCTCCAAAATTACTAAAGAAATGCTACAATTAATGCTATGTTTGGATATGAAGCATGATTCTATTAGTATACATGATTAATGTCAACAATGCTTTAAATAACATTCTAATTTATTGTAATTTGGAACTATAGTTCTACTATGATTGTTTGCTTTAGTTTTCCGGGAAAGCTGTGGACAATTTACAGTTCCTCAGTGCATGCAGAGAATGTATAAGCCCTTAAAGCCAAATGAAATTATGCATATTACAGTATCTGGAAGGAAAATATTTTAGCTTTGAAGGACTCATATGAAGGGAAGGTAACAAAGATTCTATCCAAGTCTGTTTAGTTGTGCCGAGGAATAGAACCTGGATTTTAGAAAATATGGAAAATTAAAAATGCTGTGTTATACTGGAATCGATACTACAGGAGGCTTTCTGGAACTGAATATAAGGACTTGAGAATTAATGAGCGTGTTTTCTGGATATTTAGGAAAATATTTTCCAAATTATTTCGTAGATATTAATAATAAAATATTGTTTCAAATATATTTGACCATCCTTAGATTCAATACTATTTTAAATTTTTCAAATGATTTTCCAACTTTTAGGTTTTTCTAAACTTTTCAGTTATTAGCGTTATACATTAAAAGGCAAGGTTGGAATGTATTTCATCCTTGCATCTTACTTTTTTCAATGTATTCAGTAATGTATTTGCTATTATCATCTTTGCAAAATTCTTTATCAAATGTATCCTATTAGAATGAACTTACTGGGTATACTATTTTCATTCTGTAGGAACTAATTACTATGATGCTTCAGGTAGATATAGAACAGCGTTTTTCAGCTTTGCAAGTGCTTGAGCATCCATGGGTTAATGTAAGTAAAGCTACTTGTTTCATTTTAGCCACACTGCATTTTATTGCATTATTTGTCAAATCAGCTGGAATGCTGTTTTGGAAATATGAAATTTTTAAATATTACAGCAAAATGTAGGCTTATCTCCAATAATAACTTTCTCTGCGTATATTCTGAAAATGAGTTTAAGAATATGCCAGACTCAAGATGGTGTTGTGTCTTCAGAAAGTGTAACTAACTTTCTGAAGTTTTGCCAATTCCCATTCATAAACTTGTTATAAAGGACCTGCCATACCAGGATACATTTTTCCATTAAATTTAAAACTGAATAGGGCTTTAAAATTTATCTTTAAAAAGAAATAGTGTATCAAGCTAACCAGAAGAGGAGAGAGAACCTTGCATAAAGAAGGACGGGGGGGGGGGGGGGGGGGGGGAATGAATATCCAATGGCATTTCAGATAATTTGATTAAATTGCTCAGAAATTATTTTCCTTGCCAAAAAAAAAAGAAAGGCTAATAGATCAACTTATCAATTGATAGATCAACTTATCAATTGCTACAATTCAGGTACAAATTTGCCCTTATAATGTAATATAATTTTTTTTTACCTATCCCACTTACATGATAGATGCAACATGAAGGGTTTTTATTATATTCTAACCAAAATTTATATTCTGGTTAATTTGATGCACTTTTTTTTAAAAAAAGATAAATTTTAGAATATACATATCTTTACTCAGAAAATGATTAAAGTTATTTTAGCCTGAAATAGTATATATCTACATTGTATAAGTTCCCATTTCTAAATAGAAAGGTGGTTATATTGAATGATTTTTATCTGTTATCTACAAAATAAAACTCCCTGTTCTACTAGCCTCATTTTTATGAAAGTAAATTTACATATGTTAAACTGAGCTTCTACTCTTTCACAAAATCACAATACTGACACTCATTATTTATTATTCCAAAATTCACATGAATATACATTTTATCAATTTGTTACAATGCCTCAGAATATTTATTTATTTATTTATTGAAATTAATTTATTAAATTTATATGCTGCCCATCTCACTATCTTGAATATTGATTTAGCAGCCTGCAATTTAGGTTTATGTCAAAATATTTATTATAATGTTTGCAGCATTAAGTGCAAGTATTCCAACTGACCAAAATGGAATTCAATACCTCCCAGATTTCAGAAAAATCAGAGTTATTTTCAAGTTGAGTCAAAGATGAAATGATTCTAAACTTTTTTATTCTAACTAAAAAGTAAAACTTAAATAAATTTGAAAATGTAGAAAAATTAGATCCATCTTTGCCAGTGTTGAATTTGAAAAAGCTTCATAGAGTTTCAATCTGTGAGATAACCAAAAGAAACAAAGCACAGCCTAGAATTCCAGTGGTGAAATAGTGAGATCAGTGATACAAGTCTGATTTTTCTCCTCAATTTATTTAGTAACTAGAAAAGAACATTGTACACCTTTCATTTATGATCTCTTTAATATTTCCAAAATTTACTGTGATTCAATCACTATATTATTAGAATCACTATATTGGATTCCTAGTGTCATTACAAATTATGGCATTAATATTATTATGCAAAATTGATAATACAACATATTGTGGCTGCATTTTGTATGCGTAGCTTGTGTATACTTCAGAAGATCAATTAAGATTCGCCAAAATTACTCTGGTGTTATATTGATGAATAAGGCAACCGTATAAACCAATTTTGGGACCAAATGGTTCCATTTTAGTTTCAGTGACATAAGCCTGACTGTGCTGCTAGTTACTGGAAAACAGACATGTTCAATTCTACTTTACTGAAAAACTATCCATTTGGTCTAAGCTTTCTGAATCAGTTTCTGACTGAAATACATCTGATTTTGGATGAAGAGATGTAAACAAACCTTAGGTTTCTCTTAATCATTTCATTATAATTTACTGTTTATGTTGCAATTAAAGATATAGCAGAACCTTTAGGTATAGCACAGTATCTTTTTGTGAAATATAATAATTATTTTAATTCTGAATTCAGCATTTCAAAAGTCTGGAAGGAATAAAACACATTATGTCTAAAATAGATCAGAAAATATTTCTTTTAAAAGAACTTTGGCTGTAAGTACAAGAACCTGGAAGTTGCCAATCAAGATTGTTTAATTTTTATTTACAATTGCTATGTTGATTAAAAGTTGTATAAATAAATGAAATTATAATACCTGGTCTTCAAAATGTATTTTTAAAAGGGTTTAAAAGGCCCTCACAGAAAATCTGGAGTCGTTCTAAAAATATACATGGTTCATGAAATACTAATGTTATTGAGATTATCAGGTTAGTTTTTGGTGTGAAAGTGCCCCCAAACATTGAAATTAGCACGCCTTGTTTCTGGTTACCTTCAGGCATATTATTAAAGTTAAGCAATAAATCATAGTAGAAAACATGATTATAGCTAGGAGTTATAATAATAATATCTTCAGATAGGATTCTATTCTGGAGTTCTTAGTTGATGATAAAAGGCTAGCAAGGTGTTTGTAAATTTTAGATTCACAAAATTAATTATATTTGTGAAAATTAAAAATCCTTGGGACACAATAACTTTAGAAAAATAACCACAAATTTGTTAGTCCTGAAATGAATTGCTTGTTTTTGTTTTGTAGGATGATGGCCTTCCAGAAAATGAGCATCAATTGTCAGTAGCTGGAAAGATAAAAAAACATTTCAACACAGGCCCTAAGCCCAACAGCACAGCAGCTGGAGTTTCCGTTATAGCAGTAAGCATCTACAATACATTTTTTCTCCATATTTAGAAAATTATTTTTTCTTAGGAACCCTCCCCCATGTTAAATTAATGTATTCAGTTTTAATTGCAGTGAAAAACAGATATTCCATTATCCCATCATTGGGAAATCACACTTTTTAATTGCTTCATCATCCTAAACTGCTTGGCAGCATACATATTTCTTACTGAAAATCAGTCCTTATGAGGAGAAAAATTCAACACAAATTCACTGAGATGAACATTTTTAAAGAGTATTTCATGAAAAGAAAAAAAATCACATCCCAATTATAAGCAAGAGACACTGTAATGAATAAAATACGCATATAAATGCAGAAATGAAGCCATTTTAGATATAGATATGGCTGCTTACTTAATTTGGTTTGGCCATATTATCTGAATTGGCTCAATGCAGGTCCAGGGGTGGGATTCTGCAGGTTTGGATCAATTTAGGTAAACCAAATCTGTTCTGGTGATCATTTCGCCCCTGCCCACCCATACCTGCTCCCTGTGCTTTTATTTCCTTGTTTTGGAGCACAGCTGATTCACATGGCAGAGTAGTTTTGCCGTGCTTCAGCTATTTCACTCACCAGGGGCTGCAGTAGAATGTAAGTATTATAGCTGAAAATGGGTTATTTTAAATGGTGTGCACACATGCGATCACCGTACCGGTTGTTACACTGGTTGAATCACACCATTGTGCAGGTCACTTCAAAGGCTCCCATTATCGCTATGCCACACAAGGCTAATCCATGCAATGTTCTGTGTTTGAGGGATTGGTACCTGCACTGTCATCCCAGCTGAAGTCAAGGTACTAATTTACCTAAAATTTCCTTGCCTGAGCAATTTTAGGATTTTCCCTAACTGTAGTGAAACTGTAATAGCCATAATGAATTCCATTTTTAAGGACACCAAAAAGATTCATGATGATTTGGTATGACATAGATCAGGGATGTCAAACTCACATCATCACATTGTCATCATGTGACTATTATGACTTTTTTTCCTCTAAATTTGCTAAAATGGGGGTGGGCATGGCCAATGTGTGATGCATCCAGCCCATGGACTGTGAGTTTGATACCCCTGACATAGATAAATAGATAGATAGATAGATAGATAGATAGATAGATAGATAGAGATAGATAGATAGATAGATAGATAGATAGACAGACAGACAGTGAGTGAGTGAGTGAGTGAGTGAGTGAGTGAGTGAGTCATCATAAAATGACATCCTAGAGTGAAAATGGATAGAGATCAATCTATTGGTGTATTGTCTTTTATATTCCAGAATACATTTAGATATATGCTCATGAATTTTATTACATTTTAAATAGCTTTATTTTGCACACAGACTAAGTGCTCCCTTCTAGGCAGAAATTCAAGTGGCTTGAGATTTAAATAGAGTCAACATAAGTCTTTCAACATGCTCAGTTGTATTAGCAGGATATAATATGGGAGATTATGAGACTTGTTTAACGTAGCATCTGTATATCATAGTGCAAATAGAAATGAATTAGTTTTACCTTGACCCTTTGCCAAGAACATACATTTAAAACATGTATTTAATAGTAGTGAAATTATTAATATTTGTTGATCACTCAAACATATGCAGGATATACAATTCTACTGATAAATATAATGGAGTGGTCAATTTTTTTTAATGTTCCCATCTTTTTTTCTTTAAGTCTGCCTACATTTTAAGCTTTCTTCCATAATTATGCCTCCCAGAACCATGCTCCAGACTGAAACATCATAATGATTCATTGAACATGCTCATTTGCCGTATTAGACTGATCAGAGTTTCTTCCCTAGCTTCACTAAATCGTAGATGGTACAACCAGCATTTGTAGGTGGTACACTTTGGGTAGCTGTTGTATAGTCAGAGGCTGATTTTAAGTCAGCAGAAGTAAAAAACAAAAAACAAAAACTTATTTGGCAGAATTGGCAAATTCATCCTCCTTACCATGGAAGATAATTTGTCATCGTTTTCTTAGCTTTGGACTTTATTGTTCCTATTACGTTAATGGCATCATCTAACATACTGTCCATATTTTTTTATTTTTTTTTAAATAGGGAAACCACCATAGCTTTCCCACAACTAAAGCATCCCATTGTATGCATTTTTCATATGAATTGCCAGGTATATGCTTTACTGTCCAGCTGAAACTCTTTTCAATTGGACTGCCAGCACGCTTGCCCGTGAGATGTACCGCTCAGTTCTTCTACTCTGCACTGTTTTTCATAGTTCTTACAACTTCAGAATGCTTTGCTAGTCCCTTTTGCACCCATTTTTGCCTTCTTTATTGTGTTTATTTTTCTCTTTTAAATTTAATTTGCAAGATTTGCAATAAATTTTATTGTTTTTGATAGTTCAAACATTCTAAATAAGAAAAGGTATTGCATTGTAGCTTCAAACTGATAATAAAAATGCTATGGGAATAAAGGAATACACAGATCTTTGCATTGTGTTTAGCATTGTGTTATTTTGGCACCTTATCAATTTGCTAATGGTGGTGTAGTGGCCTAGAGGTGGAGCTATCGCCTCACAATCAGGGGGCTGTGAGTTTGATCCTAGGTAGCGGCAGATATTTTTCTCTCTGGGTACAATGAGTAAGTATTAGCTGTGAACTCTTCATTGGCGAAAGGAAGAGCATCTGGGCAGTAAACACTCAGCTCCATTCAGTTGCCCCAACTCCAGCCCCCAAGGGATTACGGGGTCATTAAAAGACAAAAAAAAATCAATTTGCTATTGGACTTACATTATTCTATAGTTCTCCATTGTTTTGGTTCATTATAAATTTGAACAAAAACCCTGCAGTTCCATTTAACTTTTTAAAAATGTTGCTTATATATTTTTGCTAGATAACACTCGCAAACCGCTCTAACTTTCATCAACTTTACTATACAACGTTAATAAATAAAATAATATTTGTTATTTTTCTAATCCAGTTCAAATGTTCTGTTCTGTATGTACCCATCTATTCAGTGGTGTGATTCAAATTATTTTACTATTGGTTCTGTGGGTGTGGCTTGGTGGGCGTGGTAGGGGAAGGATAGTGTAAAATCTCCAGTCAGAGGTGGGATTTGCCGATTCTCCAAACTCCTCAAAATTTCCGTTACCAGTTCTCCAGAACTGGTCAGAACCTGCTGAATACCACCTCTGCATCTATTGTAATGTTTAAAATGTTTCTATGTGGGATGGAGTCCATTATGTATGCTACCTTATACCTTAACAAAAATATCCGACAGCAATAGCAATAGCACTTAGATTTATGTACTGCTCCATAATGCTTTAGAGCAGGGGTCTCCAATCTTGGCAACTTTAAGACTTATGGACTTCAACTCCAAGAATTCCTCAGCCAGCGAAGTGAACTGGCTGAGGAAATCTGGGAGCTGAAGTCTATAAGTCTTAAAGTTGCCAAGGTTGGAGACCCCTGCTTTAGAGCACTTACTGAGCAGTTTACAATGTCAGCATATTGGCCCTAACAATCTTGGTCCTCATTGTACCAACCTTGGAAGAATGGACAGCTGAGTCAACCTTGAGCTGTTCAGGCTATGGACAGAGTTAGCCTGCAATATTGCATTCTAGCCATTGTGCCACCACCACTCCTAAAATGGATGTAAGTACAGTACAAGTAGTCCTTCAATTAGGACCTTAATGGAGTTATTGTGATGATAAGTCACGATGACCTTAAGCAGATCTTCTACATGACCAACCCAATTGTACAACCTTTTTTGGGGTGGTTGTTAAGTGAACGTCACAATCATTGAGCAAACCAATTGTTTGCTATGAGACAGTTTTACCAAAATTCAAAAGTAATTGCCAGGTTTTGGAAACAATGTAGTAAAATGTGGTCACATGATTTGGGGGGCACTTTAAATGATTATAAATGTGAGCCGATTGCCAAACAATTGACATGAGGTCATGTGACCACAGGGAGGTGACTGATGGAACTTCAGAACCAGAGAGGTGATTTCAAACGGTTACTAAATCAAGGACTACTTATAATTAAGCACAACTTAATACAGAAAGGAAACTAAATGTAGGCTTGAAGCCAGTTTGCACCTATTCACTAGAACTGGTTGTTAGCATTCTAAGCAGTTTGGAGAACCGGTTGCTAGAAGAAATTACTGGCCTAATCCTATAAGGAAGGCAGGAAGGAAATATTCTGGTGTTGCTTACAGAAACTGCCTCTCCATTAACCCTTATTACATTCTTGGCAGGACTAGACTTCCTGTCTCTGGAAGGTCTGCTGGTACTTTGCTTGTGTGGAGTGACCATTTAATGTTACAATGGCACTGAGCAAAGTGACTTAGGATGATTTTTCACACTTACGACTGTTGCAGCATCCCCACAATCATGAGAGGCCAGGCAGGAATTTGTGTGCCTTGATGTGAGTGATGTTGAGTTGGCCACGCCCAGCCAGTCACATGACCACCAAGCCATGCCCACCAACTAAGCCATGCCCACAGAACTGGTTGTTAAAATATTTGAATCCCACCCCTGCCTGGATTAGAAAGGACATGCTGAATATATGAAATCTAAGTATGGCTTATGTATCCACAAGGCTTCCCCATTTGCTTTAAATGTTCATTCTTCTTACAAATATAAGGTTTGCCGTTCTAATTTTTTCCACACAAGAATGGCACTCAAAAAATAATACAAAAATAAAGGACAAATTATTTTGTATACATAACATCATCCAATATAAGAGAATATTTGTAGCTCAGGGGTGAATTGTGGGATCGTTTGGGCTCTCTAACCTGGAAGTTTTCTTGCAGAAGTTTCATTACCAAACTGATGTTGTTATCAAACGTCTGCAAGAAAACCACCAAGTTCAGAGAGTACCAAGGATCCTGTAACTTCATCCAATATGAGGTCTGGAACAGTACAAAGATATAAACATTAAAACAGTTCAAAAGTTTACACTACAAACATTTAATTTGATTCACTGATCAAAAGTATCTAAAGCTTTGTCTTCTCCTGAAGTTCAC